TCTGTGTGTGTCTGTCTGTATTTCCAGAGACCTCTCTCTCTCTTTCTCTCTCTCTCTCTCTCTCTCTCTCTCTCTCTCTCTCTCTCTCTCTGTGTCTCTGTGGCACGCGCGTGCGCGCGTCCTCCCGCTCGCTGGCCTCCTCCCCGTTGCCTCGAGGACGGAGAGCTGTCCCTTCACTCGGCAGGGTGTTTCTGGAAGTCTTTCGGGATGGCGTGTTGCTCGAAGGAGGTCGTCAGGAAGAGAGCGCTCGCCCCCCCGCCGCACGCGAGCAGGATCGTCGCGTCAGGGACGCTGTATTCTGAGCGCTGCGGCTCTGTAGTTGAAAAGAAACTGAGCGATAGCGATCGTATCCGACACACAGACATACCAGCTCTCTTTTCCTCGATTTATGCGTGTCATCGCGGCGCAGGGGCCATGCTAATCTTCTCTGTATCGTTCCAATTTTAACGGATGTCCCGAAGCACGACAGACCAGCTTTAGCAGGTGTTCTATTTGAGCATTTGAGCATTTACGTAGTCTGCCATGGTCACGTGAAGTCGAATCCCTCGAAGACACGCCGTAGGAAGCAGCACTGCTCTTTCGCTTCTTTCTATTCTTTTTTTTCCTTTTTCTCCTTTTCTTTGGCTGAATACCGCCTTTGAGGCCACAGCATCGGCAACTCCCACCTGGGCCGTGTGGCTAGGGGAGAGAGGAGTGAAAGTTGAATTGAAATGCACAAGTTGTGACTGGGCCTTCGAATCTACAATATATTTATGGTGGGATTGCCCAGCCTCTCGCAGAATCTGGGTCTGGTGGATCAGGTTTTGGGAGAGCTGCTCCAATGGAGCATTTGCATGGACAAAAGAATGGTGTTTGCTGGGGGAATACACGATGGACACAGCATGACAAAGGGCTGGGGCTCTGTTGCACAAGTGACAAGGGCAGTTGGGTTCACAGTCATTTGGCAGGAGAGGAACGACAGTTTTCGAGTCCAAGGATTGGACCAACAAGCAAATCAGGAGAACATTCAAACAACTCCTTCGAAGAGCAGTGATGGCAGACTGGAGGAGGAAAGTCAGCAAGCCCAGAAACAGGGAATCAGGCGTGAAATGGTTCAGAGAAACGTGGGGTCAGAGTATGTGGATTAGTGGATAGGGTGTGTGTGACTCCGAAGAACCGCTGAAAAGAAAAAAAGAAAGGGCATACTCACACAGTGGTAGCACAGCAGCAAAAAAAGAGAATTTTGCAATCCCGCTTTTGGTGAAGTACTGCCTCGCCCGGTCACACAGTGGGAGCAAATCAAATAGGGCACGAGTGGGACTTACTACCAGTTGGCAAAAAGGTGCCTCGCATGGTCACACAGGGCGAGTCCCAAATCCTTCAACTTTTTTTTTTTTTTTTTTTGAGGTCTACATAATTCGTCTCGAATTTCCTCTGGCTCTGCCCTGCGAACGGGCGAGTTCTTAAACCACCATTACCTCGCTCAGTGCTCGGCCGCGGCCTTCCCGTATACGCGCCGCAGCCTCAGGCTGGTCGGCCAAGGGAAGGCCCGGTCGTAGCGCCAAGGCCGGGCCCCTCTTCTGTAGGGACGATCAAAAAAAAAAAAAAAAAAGATAAGAAGAAAAAAAAATGAAATACACAAACGAAAAAAAAAAAACGGGAAAACAGTTGAAGTCGTGAGAGAGAGAGAGAGAGAGAGTCCCGTTTCGAAAAACGAAACGGGAATGCATCTCCCCGCTATTGCGGGAAAATGCATTCCCGCTCCCTTTCTCGAACGAGCTAGAGAGAGAGCCAGAGAGAGAGAGAGAGGGGCGGCGAGTTCGCCGCGACCCTCCGTGCAGGTGGCCGCCACTCTCTCTCTCTCTCTCTCTCTCTCTCTCTCTCTCTCTCTCTCTCTCTCTCTCTCTCGCGTCGCGGCTGGCCTTTTGGTACTGCGCCCTCGATAGGATGAGCAAAATCGAATGAATCTGGCTCTATAGCGTGGGAATATACATTGCCTTGTTTTTGTGTGAGTGTGTGTGTGTGTGAGAGAGAGAGAGAGAGAGAGAGAGAGGGGCGGCGACCTCTCTCTCTCTCTCTCGTCACGGCTGGCCTCATGGTACTGTGCCCTTGCTAGGATGAGCAAAATTGAATGAATCTGGCGCTATAGCGTGGGAACATACACTGCCTTACTTGTTTTTGTGTGTGTGTGTGTGTGTGTGTGTGTGAGAGAGAGAGAGAGAGAGAGAGAGAGAGAGAGAGAGAGAGAGGGGGGCGGCGAGGTCGCCGCCTCTCTCTCTCTCTCTCTCTCGCGCGTCGCGGCTGGCCTCTTGGTACTGCGCCCTCCATAGGATGAGCAAAATCGAATGAATCTGGTGCTATAGCGTGGGACTATACACTGCCGTACTTTTTTTCGGTTTTTTGTTTGTTTTTTATTTCGTTTTTTTTTTCGGTTTTTTTCGTTCGTTTCACTCCGACGTTCGGGATGCTTGCGCCCCGTACCCGGTAGTCCGAGCCTCGTCACGGGTCGGCGTACCGGTCGGCCGAGGCTCGGCTGGGCCAGGTACTGGTGGTTTAAAGCTCACTCGCAGTGCTCGGCTCCGTCATTCAGTTTGGGCCTCTGGTCAGCAGACAAGAGCTCGGCTCTTTATTCAGTTTGGGCCTCTGGCGAGCAGAAAAGAGCCCGCACCCAATCGTCGAGATGCAGAGAAGCTCAAAGCCACGTTGGTCATGTTTATAAAAAAAAANAAAAAAAAAAAAAAGAGAGACACGTTGTCTTCGTGGTACATCAAGCAACGTGGCACTTCCTTTTGTTGGCGCGCAGCTCCACTGTCCATGCTGGCACTACCGTCTTCCTCCGAACAGAACGCACCCTCGTTTTGGCTGTATCTGGCCGGAAATACAACTCGTAGACATTCATTTTAAGGGTGCGTTATGTTCGGGGAAGACCGTAGTCGAGATGCCAGCAATGAGACAAACTGCTGCTTGGAGATGGCGCACGCCACGGGGCCGGCAATGGCGAAGGACGATCAACAACACCAGCTGGCGGTTTCCAGACGGTTCGAGCCGTCGTCCCCGCCTTGATGTGACCCGGTGGGACCATCCCACAAAGCGACGTTTTTTTTTTTTTTTTTTTAAGAAAACAGCTTGTTTGTATTCAAGACTCATGGTAAACGGGGCCGGGGACCCCACAAATCAACCCGGAACAGACCTCTGGCAGCATTAGCCAGCTTCGCTTTTTACGGCACCGAAAGGAACCGGATGACATCAATCATGGAAGAGATAGGGCAGACCGGGTTATAGTGATCTTTACTGAGAATAGAAGGGAAAGCATTCTAGAGAGAAGAAGCTTGAGACTTGGGCAGGGAGTGATGGAGAGGGGACTAACTATCCTAGGCTAAAAACTAGAACAGGGAGACTATTCTAAACAGCAAACAGGCCTAATACGGCCTGACGTCGGCCCAGAGCGGCCGGCTGGACCACCGGTCCCAGGAGTTCCGTTGGCTCTAACTGTTGTTGATCTGCTTGTTCTACTGCGGCCAAAATAACCGAGTACCCTGGTAAAGGAGAAGAGGAGCAGGAGGACACAAAAGAACAGGAGCAACTGACAGGCTAAGAGAAGACAGGATGAAAGTACAACTTTTATGTCTGAATCCAGGGGGAAAGGACCATCTTCCCTTCGAGGGTGACTGCCGCCAGCTGATTGTCCCTGGCCCACGTAACCAAAAACCATCGCAGACCCCGCGTCGTCCTCCCTTGCGCAGCCTTTCTTGTCCCGTCTACGATGATCATGGTTCGAATGAGTGCCTTAATCTTGGCCTTAGTTGCCTCATCAGAGGTCCATTGTCCCTCGAAGTGAATCTGGTTTCTGTCTGTCCAAGTGACCCAGAGTATGATAGCCCTCACAGTCTGTGCCACATAACCTCTGCCGGTTGCTTTGAACCAATGTCTGGGGATGATTCCACCGATTGCCCATTTTTCATAGCCTAATGCGCTTCGAGGCTGGGCAAGTCCAAATCAGATGTGAGATCGTCTCCTCAGCTCTTCCCCCACATCTGCTGCATTTAGTGGCGATGTCCATTCCCCTTTCAAAGAGCCAGACTGTGGTGGGTACAATTGCATGTGACACCATCCAGAGAAGGGCTGCAAGCTTGCGAGAAGGTAGATTGGGAAGCTGAATCCAGAGGCCTCTGACTCCAATCTCTGAGATGCAGAGAGTATGGGAGGCTGAGCTGCTAAGCTTGCTGGCCACCGCTGCAGGTGACGGACGGTTCTTGGAAAGCAGGTTTCTTGCGAGCTTGGAGGAGTAACAGCAGAAAGGTACCGTTTTCCCTTCTTCATCCCTCCAGAAGCCCACCAGCGGATCAATTCGTAAGGTAACTAGAGGTCTTCCAGCTAAGAGGACTTCATGGTGGTATACCCCTGGGCGAGGTTGCGAAGTGTGAACTCTTACCAACTGTAGCCTCTCTGTGGAGCTCAGGCTGATTGTGTCCCGAAACTGGAGTCCTTGTTTGAGCACTTCCATGACCGGGGCTGTCCATTCCTGGGCTATGAGGGTGTCTTCGTCCAGCTGCTCTCCAATCTTCAAAAAGACAGTCTGCTGCCCCTGGGTGTCTCCCAGGTACCATTGTCCTTGCACGGGCTGCTTGGTCTGCAGAAGTGTCCTCCAATGCTGGGGTATCGCTTGGATGATCTGTTGTTTCCTTCGTTCGACGTACCTTAGCTTGCCGAGGGTGTCCCTCAGGGCAGTGTCTCTGATCCATTCCTCCTCGCTGTCATCCCACAAGTCTCCCACTGTATCAATACCCTTCTCGACCCATCTACGCCCAAAGGATCCCCTGGTTGAAGTGGCAGAGAGGGGGAGTGCCTCATCATCAGTAATATAACAGTTATCAAACAGGGGCTGTCTCAAGACCTCCTCTCTGGTGCACGACTCCTTTCTATTGAAGGAGCTGAGGGCTCTCCATGCTGAGCAGGCAGTTAAGAGGGGGGAGGCTGGCTGTCGACGCACATAAGAATCCATGAGAATGCACGTCCAGATGTCCTCAGGTCTTGCGAGGTGGAACTCCTGTTGCGCAAGGTACTCGAAGACCGCCAGCCACTTGCGCTGCTCTGGTTGGGTGCAGGCCTTGATAAACCACTTGAATAGTAGGGCGAGGTTCTGGGCCTCAGGGTCCAGAATGCCAAGCCCTCCTTCGTCAGTTGGGCAGGTTATCTTCTGCCATGCACACTTGGTAATAAATCCTTCGTCCTCTTGCGCTCCCGGCTTCCATAAATATCTGGACGCATCCTTCTTAATACCCCTCAACATGGGCTTCGATAGGAGAAGGACAGCAGCGACGTACCAGAGTTGGGAGAAGACCAAGGTCGTCATAACCATGGCCCTACCAAATAACGCAAAGCCTGGTGCGGCTCGACAAAGCCGTTGCTTTGCCTGTACCTTGGCTTTTAAGATAGTGTCCTGCGCCCGGCTTGCACACGTCAGAGAAATTTGGACACCCAGGAACCTCTCCGAGAGATTCTGTCCAACTCTTGTCATACCCCAGTCATCCTCGAGCTGGTATTCCTCTGGGAGAAAGCAGAGAGACTTCCTCCAGTTCACCTGCGCTTCCGATAGCTGCGCGTAAATGTCCAGCAGCCTTTTAATCTCCGCGAGGGAGTTATACTGCGCCTCAGCTACTAATAGCAGGTCATTGGCAATAGCTCCCGTTGTCAGCGTGTGTTCAGGGCCCAACTGCAGCCCCTTGATGCATGGGGAGGAGCGAATAGAGTTGAGGAATACATCCATTTGCGTAGCGAAGAGGAGTGAGGCCAGGGGGCATCCCTGTCTCAGGGACCTCGTCAGAGAGAACAGGGGGGACTGGTACCCATTGACTAGGACAGAGGCTGTGGTGTCAGTGTACAGAGCTGCGACCCATGTCCTGAAGCCGATCCCAAAGTTCATGTGCTCCAGAGTAGCCAGTACAAAAGACCAATTGACTCGATCATACGCTTTTTTGAGGTTGAGCATGGCAACCATGACCTGGCGGTTTTCTCGCTGGATGATCTCCAAGGCTCCCATTGCCGTGAAGATGTTTTCTTCTATTGCTCTCCCTTGCACGAAGGCACCTTGGTCTGTGTGGACCAACGCCGGCAAAAAGGGAGCCATTCTTCTAGCAAGGAGCTTAGCTAAAAGCTTGTAGGAGACGTTGAGCCGTGAAATTGGTCGGAAATTGCGAATATTGCGCTTATCCCCCTTCTTGTAGATCAAGGTTATCACACCTCTTCTCTTGTCTTCCCTCAGAGAGCCTCCCTCCAGCACATGATTATACAATTTGACCAAAATTGGCACGGTATAGTCCCAAGTGGCAGTGTAGAACTCCGCTGGTAACCCATCCACGCCAGGGCTCTTCCCTTTTGCCATCGCCTTCAAAGTCTCGGTCAGCTCCTCAACAGTGACTGGCCTGTCCAGAAGCAATCTGGCTTCGTTAGGTAAGGCCACGTCGGTGTCCTGCCAGAGATTGTACTCCTCCCTCAACTGTTGGAGAGTCTGCCCTGGAGGCCTGCGCGAGGTTAAGATGTCCTGGAAGCACTCCGGAGCATAATTCCCGATGGCCTCGGTGGTGGTTGCCGCATCTGCGTCGGCCAGAAAGGGATGCTCCAGCTCTCTGAAGAGGGTATGAGATCGAGGAGGGGCCAACCGTTTGAAAGTTTCTTTGGTAATTCTGTCCCCTCCAACGATGCCCCTCTCCGCTGCTCTTTTGGCCCATTGTGACTGCTGTTGGATCTGAAGTTGGTCCCATTTCTGCAACCAGGTTTGGCGCCTTCGTTCCCAGTGCAACTCCACAAGGGGCTGTGTCTCCAACATTCTCTCAGCTTCCTCGACCTGCCTCTTGCTCTCTTCCTCCTCCAGCCGCCTCCCCCTAGCATAGACCCTGGAGAAGACGTCCAAGGCCCTTGTTATCATTCGAAACCCAAGCTGCACCCATTCCTCCTCCACTTTAAGCCATCCTTTCGTCTGCTCCCAATCCCTCCAATGGTTCTCAACCCAGCTTAGCACCTCCTGGTGCTCCAGCAACTCCACGTTCAGCCTGAAGATTCCCGGTCCCCTCGCAAGCGCTGCTGCAGTCTCGAAAGTGGCTAGCAGGGGGCGGTGGTCAGAGAGGGGATCAGCGATGACGTCAATGCAGATGAGTGAATCCCAAGCAGAGCCTTTGGTCAGCATTAGATCCAGCCTTAGTTTCGGTGGAGGGCCCACGTCTGTTTTCTGAGAAGAAAACCAGGTAAAGCTGTGCTCAGTGGGGTGGGTTTGCCGATATGCATCAATGTAGCCGGATTCCTCGATGAAGGCCATGAGCTGCCTTGCATCTGCTTTCGGAAATGCGAAGTTTGGGGAATCTAGGCCAGGGGAGAGGACTGTATTAAAGTCCCCAGCCAGAACAATGTTCTGGGCATCTGGGAGGAGGTAAGGGAGCTCCTGCAGGAAGGATTTCCTTTCAGCAGGCTCTGATGGGACGTAAACCATTGCAAAAGTCCAATCCTCATCACCCAGCTTGACCCTTACCCAGATGAAACGTCCCCATATCTCCGTTTCTGACTCACCCAACTCGAGCTCTAAATCTCTGTGAAAAAGTATGGCTGTACCCCCCCTGGTCAAAGCGACGTTTTTTTGCAGGGACGGACAGCGGTCATTGCTTCTACCGTCGCTCCCATCTGAAATGGAACCGCGGGGGAGGCCGGCAGAAGATAGATTTATTCCCTGCGGAAGCGTGCCTATTGTCATCTATGGAGGACCAGGGGGAACGCGCTACCCGGGGGGAAGTCGGCGGAGCAGAGCGGAAGGAATGCCACGGGTGGGTGCAGTTTCCTCCGCAACAGACAAGCCCGTTACTCACGGGATTTCTGCAAGGCATGTGGACAAAAAACGAGCGCTATGTGTGTGACCCACACTGGAAATGCCATTTCAGCATATGTGGCGAATTCCCGACGTTTCTACTGCTACCAACACCCTCCGGCAGTTGTTAGATGTGCAAAAATTTCTTCTCGCAAAATCCTGAAAAGCAAAAGAAAATTTGATACCACCTCCCGAGGTGATAGCAAAATGCCCTTCCCCGTGGCCCGCCAGGCCGCTGACATTTGATACCCCATTTGCTGCACTTGCCAATTTCCGTGCCTCGTGCGACTTGTCCAACCATCAATTTTTTTGCGATTTTGCCATAAAAGGCTCTAGTGCGAGTATGCCCAAACTCGGAACGGTGATTGGCGGTGTGGTGTTTCTTGTATTTGAGCAGGGGGACATATATGTATTTTTGCCGCCTCCCATTGGCTGGCCTATCTTTTTATTTTGTTGAGTAGGCCGCGTAGGGGTCCTTAAAGTGAGTGAAAATCATAACGAATACCTTTCTGGGCCTTTTGGCTAAGATCAAGTGTATCATAACGAATACCTTTCTGGGCCTTTTGGCTAAGATGAAGTGTAGTATCTGGTCTGATCAGTTTAATATCCGATAACGATTTTTTTTGTGATGATTTTCACACACCTTCCACACACCTTTGGTTAGTGGCCCATGCATAGGAGAGAGGCCGAAATAGATAATGTGGGAGATGTTTTGGGAGGATTCTATCCCATAGCCTGCAGCAAATATGGCGTAGAAATAGTCTGATAAGTCAGAGGGAAGGACCAGAGTGCTCTGTGGGCCCATTTCAAGGAAGGCTCAGACTACTGTAAATGAATGTGGTCCGCTGGGGCGCTCACATGCAGTCAACTTGACTGCCACATCCATGGTCAGTGAATCATACCCTGACATCTGGCACGCTGCCTGGATGAGACAGGATCCGTGGGAAGAGCACTTCCTTCTCTTTTTCCGCATTTCTCTCTTCATTTGTTTTGTCAAGATATGGTGTTTCGTTTTTATTTTACCTATTTTACTCTGCCACCCACCCGTCCCACACCCGTCCCACACGCATCCCACACCCGTCTCACACACGTCACACTAATCCAAATACATGGTAGTGGGATCTCCCTCCTGCAATTCCAGGAAACTCACAGAGTTCAAATTCCTTTCTTTTTTTAAACCACTGCAGTACTTGGCCCAGCTAACCATGCCGAGCCGGCCAACCCCTGTGTGCCAAGTTTTCCCGAACCACCGCCGCACCGTTTCTACTTTGTTTTGGCTGGCGCTTCCAGCCATTGAGGTCTGGCACCCCGAAGCCCAGAAGTCGGCTTGTTAACAACAACGGCCGCAGCCGATGTATGGGCCACTTTCTGGTGGTCCCTATGCTTGCAGGGGTAGGAAGGTAGTGAAAGGCAAAGATAATTTGAGAGAAGAACATAGTGTAGTTTAAAAAGAAAAAAAAGAAAGAAACAAGGGCGGACGCGGCATGTTTTCAGTTCGTAAAGGCACAAAAAACAGGCCTTTGGCGACTGTGTCAGGGCCTGAGTTCGAAAGGGCGTTCGTAACTCAGGCCGGCAGTGGTGTCACGGCAGAGGTTTCATTAAGGCGGTTGTGTCTTTTTTTTTTTTTTTTTTCGGTCGGTCACATCGCGCCGCAGCTGCAAGGAGCAAAAAGTTTTTTTTTTTTTTTTTCGGTCGGTCGCGCTGCGCCGCGGCTTAAAAAAAAGAAGAAAAACAAAAGGTGTATCGGCCCCATGGTCGGACCACGGCCGAGATGTCTCGGCCACACCCCAGATTGGCCACGGCCGAGACAAGATTGGCCACCGCCGAGATGTCTGGGCCACACCACAGAATGGCCACCGCCTAGATGTCTCGGCCACACCCCAGATTGGCCACGGCCGAGATATCTCGGCTACACCCCAGATTGGCCACGGCCGAGATGTCTCGTCCACACCCCAGATTGGCCATGGCCCAGATGTACAGGCCCTGTCTCTTATACACATCTAGATGTGTATAAGAGACAGCTCCCGGCTTGAGTTACGAACGCCTTTTCGAACTCAGGCCCTGACACAGACGCCGATGCCTGTTTTTTCTGCCCATTACGAACTCCCATGTGACATAAACGTACTTCCCCAAAAAAGAAAAGGAAAAAAAAGGAGAAAACAAGGGTGCGGTCAGCTTTAGAGTTAGAAAATGCAGTCCAAACTGTCTTTCTGCAGTCTAGTCAGGACCCAAGTTAAAAATGCAGTCCAAACTAGACTAATCAGAAAGGTCGCGCCGCTGAGTTTCCAAAAAGCAGTCTAGTCACCCACGTCGGAGGGCCCAGAAGAGGCCCTGGCACAGGCCCGTGGGAGCGTGAAAAAGCCTGTGGTCCACAGTCTGCCCGGTAGCTTGCGCTCCAC